AAGAGGAGCAGGAGGTTGATGAGTCCGGAAGCCTTCAAGTTGATTGCAGTCAGAATGCACCCAGGCGAAATGGTATCCAACTGCAGAGCGGTAGCTCTGCTGGGCCAGGCGACGGAGAGACTTGTTAGTGCGTTTGCTGTTTCTGAGCTCTTTTAATTGTTCTTTATCACGATTACTGGGCTGTGCATCCGATAGCAACACCGTGACCGTGGTCGCGGTTCGAGCTAGGCATGTCAATTGAAGTGCGTGCATCGCCAATCATGTCATGTGGTTTCGTTCTTTACATTGTTTCCCCATTGCTCCAACAATACACGCGGCTTACACTGTTGGCTTGTGGTCAATCCTGCATGCTGCTCGCATGTGCACCTATGTCTCAACGTGTTTGCATGGATCCGAGGAGGTTGGATCCTCGATTGAGGGATTGCTGACTGATGTAAACCACATCTCACATGGCTAAAATTTGATTGTAAGGAGGCTGTCATGCATTAACATGCACCACACAGTGTTGGCGCCATGCACGAACGCTGCCCATCTTGTTAACACCTCATGTATGTTAGTGTTCCACTGCATGCACCGCGCCTCCCTCAGAAGAATGTAGACAAACAACGCGATGATGCTAATTGAACATATAGCCAGCTGATTGCACACATGCTATCGATACCTTGCGCGCTATTGAGTGATCGACCAACTTGCAGGCACTCGTGTCAAACTCGCATGCAAGTTTTGGCGCTGCATGGTCAAATAGGGTAAACTGACAAGCATGAATCGTGCACTGGCCCATTGCAAATCTCTGAAACCAGTGGCACATCACCTTGAATCAGAGGAGATTGGCAAGACAGCTCCTGACCGAAGCCTGGGCCCTGAAGCATCTTCGATACAGATTCAACTATCACATGTCCGACTAGTCTTGACAACTCTTATCGTTTGCAGTATGCTATTTGCATTGGCATTTTCAAAAGGACCGCAACATCCTGCTCTGGCAGCGGCCCAATCCAGAAGTACGGCCTGGTTAAAGAGGTGCTGTCAACAGAGGCCACTCGGGCGAACATGCCGCGGGCCTTGCCGCCGTGTCCGAACCTGACTCGTTCTGGCCTCTTCCGGCCTTTATCAATCCTTTTTTCAGTGCTGCTGTTACCCGATAGAAGGTAGGTAAAGCAGCTGGTGGCGGACCACAGGCTATTCTCGTCCCCGGCCACGCCCGCCTTCGCCTCGACCTGACACCACGAGCAGAAGCTAGGATTAAGGGAGACGTGCAGAGGGGAGAGTTCGAAGGCCCCAAATGACAGCTGTCAGGTCACTCAAAGGGTTCAGATCAGGGCGAATCAACGGGCTCACAGTACGACTGTGTTTCGGCAAAAGAAAGAGCTCCTCGTTTTAGTGCTATTGTGGCGTCTCACCACGAAAAGGACAGGCCGACTCGGGTTGAACTCAATGCACTTGAAAGAGCCTCAGGCGTATCAGCGCAAGCATATCCATGGTGGTCCGTTCTCAAATTTAAAAAACAGAGACTGATTGTATCGAAGATAGAATAGCGTTCCCGAATGCACGACTCGCACTGCGCCACTTCGTTATTTTATCGATTGAAGGTTGAGTTTGCTGACACACCTTCCGGCCAGACCCGTTGTCCTTCAACTCCTTGCAAGAGCAGCCCACTTCGCATCAAGGGTCTCAAAGCCGAACCTCAACAGAACCCAACAAAGCCCGCCCACTCACCTCGGCCCCCTCTGCCTCCCCCCCGCCCGCCCCGCCCTTCCCCCGCGCCGCCTGGCCCGCCTGGCCCGCCCCGCCCTCCTCGTCCCCCCTCCCCCCTCGTCCCCCGCCATACTCGCCGCCCCCCTCCGCCCCCTCTTCCCCTCGTCCCCCCCGGCCTCCTCCGCCCCCCCGGCCCCGACCTCGCCCGCCCACGTTGGGCCGCCGCTCTGCAATAACAACAAGGCAGCGCGGGTTGGAGGGTGCAGCTTCGGCAGGACGCATCAATTGCCAGGGAGCAGCCCGTTGCGAACAACACGTTTGCGTAACAGCGAGGGGCTACTTTCATCGCAGCCGCCTGGCCCATCCCACAGGACCGACCAATAACCATAACGAGATATGGAGTGCAGATCACAATCCAACTTCGTCGACAAACACGGCAAGTCCGCAGAACATGTTGAGCGCTGACCTTGCCGCTTGATGGTCTCCTCCTGCACCTTGTCAATGACCTCGTCCGGCACGCGCAAGTACTTGATCGTGTTGCCGCGCACATAGCACTCGGGCATGCGCCAGAAGCGGTCCCCGTCCTACACAATGTGAAATTTGACATGATGAAGGTTGAAAGGAAGAGCCTTTGCTCTGGTGGTCCTTGAAACCTGAGGCTGTTCTTGTTGAGGCCAAAACGAACGAAGCGAAATACCCGCAACTCCTTCCATTTAATAAGCTGGTATCGGAACTTAGGAGTGTCATGTCGAACTCAAAGATTAGAATCAAGTATTTGGAAACAAAGGTGCATTGGAACAAAAAGACAAAAATGTTTGATTCACTGTTGCCTTGCTAGGTCAGTTGCCAGTTGTTACGAGCGGTCTGGACACCATTTACAACATACGGGGCAAATGTAAAGCAAGTCTGCGGGATGATTATTGTCAAGGACCCGAAATACCTCCCTCTACCACTGCGCAGCCTTGCACAAGGAGGAGGTGAACAGGAGGAGGTGACTGGCCCGTCAGAGAGAATAATTCATAAACAACAATCTGACTCGAGTCAAGCACCATGAGGGGTATACACGAAGGTTGCACGGGGCTGCGGCCTGACCTTGGAGGTGCAGATGACCTCGCGCAGGTGGATGTTCATCCAGGTGTCGCAGTTGACCAGGTGCCCGTTGTACGTCTCGCCATTCTTCAGCTCCACTAGCTGGACCACATCCGCCCCGCAGTCAGCACCCAGGGGGCCGTGTGCGAACAAAAGGCACAGTCAAAGCAGACAATGCAGAAATCGGTTACTCTTGCAAAATTGCGGTCTTCTTCATGTCTTCTACCCGCTCAGTTTCACACTTTCTGTGCAGGCCCAACAGGCTGTGCAGATTGCAGGCAGCGGAGACGTTTGCGCGACGCTCACCATGGGATGCCCTTGCGCCGTCTTCAGGAGGGAGAGGGGCAGCTGCAACAGCAACAGAGGAAATAAGATCCTGCCTGCCTGCCATCAACCACTGGCATACCTGTCCAGCTCAAGGCTGCAAGAAACGAATCCGGCACCGCAGCATATGATAGGGCAGTGGCGTACTCACCATCGTATATCCTGACCCCAGCCGCCCTCAGGCAGTGCAGGCAGCAACTTGCCGCACTTCTGTGAAGATGTTACAAAGAGATCTGCAGCAAGCAGAAGCATGCTTGTTCTCTAATCGCACTGATCAAATCACTATGTAAACTGCTCGATTGTGATGCACTCGACGCAGACCAGACTCTAGAAATTATGCGGATTTGCTGTGTCAGGCAGGTGGTTCAGAATGTCATTTTTGCGGGCGTGTAAAAATATAGTCAATAAGGGGTCCACTTTGACCAGAAAAGTGGTGGTGCAAGAATGTGAGGCCTAAGCGATTCTGTGAAAGGAAACCACTCGTTGTTTCCTCCTTGCCAATGTGCAACATGACGGGCACCAACTTCCAATCTCTTGAGACTCAAATTGGATGTACAAAATACAGTCAAGCGAAGAACTCCTCCTTTTATGCATCCTGACATATTGAAAGATCATGATGAAGACAGGAGCAACTTCAAAGACAAGGCATGCTTTACAAATCGAGCTGTACAATTCTGTTCTTCTCTGGCAAGTGCAGGAGAGATACCTACCGCACGTGCACCAATCTACGTAATCGAAAGGTCCACCAAAGAACCTTGGTTTCTGGCTTGCTAGCATATCAAGCACTCCAAAGCTGCAGCATGACTACGAGCGTCCTTGCAGGCTTTTTGTCAGCCTTTCTCCTTACACGTGCCTTTCAAAGAACCCCGTGAGCTCTGCTCTTTTCTTCCTTTGCGGCCCCGCCAGACACTGTTGACAATTCACAATTCAGAGGGTTTGTCGAACTTTTGTGGCGCCAGCGTGCACCAGCTGCTTCCTCCTGCTCAGTGCACAGGCGCTGCCAAAAGACTCGATGGCCGAGCCCGAGGTCTGTTCATGACCGTGCGAGGGGGTACCTAACAAGTCGTTTCTTAGGGGGCTGAAAAGAACAACGGTTCGCATAGATAACGCGCGGCGGGGTTTGAGTTCAAAACCCTTGCGCACTTCCGGGCAGGCCGGCGCTTCTGGGCCGCGCGCCCGATCGGGGCGGCGCGAGTCTCAAATCCCACCCAACTCTCTCGGCCGTCCGATGAGCAGGGTTCAGTCGAGCGCCGTCGATAGGCGATTCTGCCGAACTCCACACAAAGTGCCCGGTTTGGCGCAGAATCCATAAGCTATGCTCCCGATTGGGTCTACTGTAGTGACCAGTGTCAGACTTCAGTGGATCAGTGCGGTGTCAATGTGACACTCCAGGGCCTGGCGGAGCGTACTGCACTCGCATTGGGAGTTGGAGCCAGCTTGAGATACGTTGCCGGTGGCCCGGAGCTGTGGAGCTGGTCCCACTGCAGATCCAGTAGCCCTGGGCTCGCTTTGCCAGGTGTACAAATGAAGGTGAGTTTGAACCGGATGCAGCCTCAGTGCTGGTTTTACTGGGTATTTTCAACTTCATGCTCCGGGGTCTTGAAGAGTGGGCAACTGCCCGACTCCAACTTATGGGCTGCACAGACTCCTCGTTCATTTCAATGGCTTCAATCTTAGCAAACGGTGGTCGGCTCCTCAGTTGCCAGCTGAAGGACCACACCTTGATTGAAGCAGTTTCTTTTCAGAACCTGGCAGCTCTTTGATGGACGGCACCTCATGCAAAGTGTGGTCCAGCATCGCAAGTCAAACCGACCATACCAATCATTTAGAAGCATATGGCAAGCAGTCTCGGACCCTTTGTCCACATGAGCCCGTAGTACAGTCAACCACGCTTTCAATCTTTGCAGTAGAAGCCCTATACAAGGTCGGGTCCAGCCCCTTCATCTTTTTACTGGCGTTTGCAACCATCTCGACTTGGACCACACCTTGCCATTGATGTATAGAAACTCCGCTCTCTTGCCAGTAAAAGTCATTTGCAACGTGTGGTCCAGCCAACCACGAGTCAGACCGCCTGCAGGTCAGTCCGGCCATCCGGGACGTTTCAGAATTGAATTGCAAGCGTTTTTGGTCCCGTTGGCAGTGGACCACACGTTGTCAAAGATTCTTATGAACTTCCCCCTTTTGCCTGGCCAAGCTTTGTACGAGGTGTGGTCCACCCAATCAAAAGTCAAGCCGGCCATCCGTGCCATCTAGAAGCATATGGCAAGCAGGTGTGGTCTTGATGGACCACATGTTGTCAAACTTTCTTATAAATCCCCCCCACTTTGCCCAGCCGAGCTTCATACAAGGTGTGGTCCACTGTCTACTGAACGCACTAAATCATTGAACCATGGCAGATGCATATGGCAAGCAAAGCGGGTCCTGGTGGACCACACGTTGCCAATAGTTCTTTGGGAATTTGGCTCTTTGCTAAGAATAACACTATGCAAGGTGTGGTCCAAACATTCCGTAAGGCAGGCCGGCCATTCCGGCCATCCAGAAGCATATGGCAAGCAAGTGGGGTCTTGGTGGACCATATGCTGTCACTAGTTATTAGGAAATCAACTCGTTGCTGGTGGCAAGCCGTACGCAAGGTGTGGTCCAGCAAATTTGTAAGGTAGGCTGGCCATTCTGGCACGCATTTTTCGATCCAGTTGGACCACACGTTGTCAAAGATTCTTATGAACTCCCCCCGTTTGCCGAGCTTCATACAAGGTGTGGTCCACCCAATCGTAAGTCAAACCGGCCATTCCGGCCATTCAGAACCACATGGCAAGCAATTTCGGTCCTGATGGACCACACGCTGCCAATAGTTATAAAGGATTTGGCTCTTTGTTGGGCGAAGCTGTATACAAGGTGTGGTCCAGCCGCTCGTAAGGTATACCGGCCATCCCTGCTCTTCAGAAGCAATTGGCAAGCAGGTCTGGTCCTGATGGACCACACGTTGCTAATACTTATTAAGGATTCGGATCTTTGCTGAGAAGAACCGTGTACAAGGTGTGGTCCAGCTGCCCGCAAAGGCAAGCCGGCCGTACGGACCGTCCAGGCGCATGTGGCAAGCAATTTCGGTTCTGATGGACCACACGTTGCCAATAGTTATATGAGGAACCGGGAACGAAGCCATCTGCAAGGTGTGGACCAGCATTAGGCGGCCATCGGGCCACGACATGACGTGCAACTTTGTGTTTCACATGATGAGCGGATTTCAGGGGTGCCGCAGAGGCTTAGGACCATCAAAACCTGCTCAAACTCAAAGCTTTCTCTTCGGTCCCAGGATGAATCTCGTGACGGCGTCCCGTGACGAGAAAGACCCCTCCGGCATCGCTCTCATCGCTTCGACCACCCCAGCGGCCTCAGCGAGCCTGCACGACACCCTGAAGGCCGGTCAAGCCGTCAGGAGCTGCGCGGCAGTCCACTTCAAGGGCCCGGCTCCAGTCTTTGGCGACGTTAGAAGCGTCCCGGCTGCCGTCCCGCCCCTACCAAATGCTGGGGGCGTGCGAGGAGGCCGCCTCTCCTATGCGACCAAGCAGGGAGCCGCCGACTTTGCGTTCGACTACGGGCTCGCCTTCAGCTTGCGGCCTGCCGGAGCTTTTGCTCGGGGCGGATTTGGCTCGACGTGCATCGGCCGCACCTGTGGCGGAAAGGGGGCAG